CTGATATCTGCTTATTGCTTAAAATTACAATTTATTTGTTGGATGCTTAATTGAACATTCACCCTGTATGTAAAATAACTATTGTATTCTCACCGTCAAATGGGAAGTGATCAATTAACATTTAAATAATTGAGATTTAAAATATGTGAACTTGAATTCAACTTTAAGTTATTGAGAAATAAAATATAGGGAATGCGTATACACTAGTGAAGCTCTTCTTCATTTTAATGATGGGGGTATGAATGCTCCAGAAATTCTATGGCGCCCAATAGGGTACCATAAGCCATGCCACATTATGATGTGGCATATGAGGTGGCCTTCTTGTTTTTAATTATCAATTACATGACATATATGATGTGGCATTTTTTAAGATTTAATCAATTAATAAACCTTCCATAATAGGATTTGTTGCGTTGCTTTCCTTATTGTTATATGCGTATGGGGAATAAATTAAATATATCAAAATATGCTATAAATTAAACTGCATATTAATTTGATATAAATTAATTTTCAATTGATTATACAAAGTTTATCATTTCTACCCACAAACTTTACTTTACATTTCTGATATCATCTTATTGCTTAAAATTACATTTTTTTTTTTATTTTTTTCTGATATCATCTTATTGCTTAAAATTACAATTTATTTGTTGGATACTTAATTGAACATTCACCCTGTATGTAAAATAACTATTGTATTCTCACCGTCAAATGGGAAAGTGATCAATTAACATTTAAATAATTGAGATTTAAAATATGTGAACTTGAATTCAACTTTAAGTTATTGAGAAATAAAATATAGGGAATGCGTATACACTAGTGAAGCTCTTCTTCATTTTAATGATGGGGGTATGAATGCTCCAGAAATTCTATGGCGCCCAATAGGGTACCATAAGCCATGCCACATTATGATGTGGCATATGAGGTGGCCTTCTTGTTTTTAATTATCAATTACATGACATATATGATGTGGCATTTTTTAAGATTTAATCAATTAATAAACCTTCCATAATAGGATTTGTTGCGTTGCTTTCCTTATTGTTATATGCGTATGGGGAATAAATTAAATATATCAAAATATGCTATAAATTAAACTGCATATTAATTTGATATAAATTAATTTTCAATTGATTATACAAAGTTTATCATTTCTACCCACAAACTTTACTTTACATTTCTGATATCATCTTATTGCTTAAAATTACATTTTTTTTATTATTTTTTTCTGATATCATCTTATTGCTTAAAATTACAATTTATTTGTTGGATACTTAATTGAACATTCACCCTGTATGTAAAATAACTATTGTATTCTCACCGTCAAATGGGAAAGTGATCAATTAACATTTAAATAATTGAGATTTAAAATATGTGAACTTGAATTCAACTTTAAGTTATTGAGAAATAAAATATAGGGAATGCGTATACACTAGTGAAGCTCTTCTTCATTTTAATGATGGGGGTATGAATGCTCCAGAAATTCTATGGCGCCCAATAGGGTACCATAAGCCATGCCACATTATGATGTGGCATATGAGGTGGCCTTCTTGTTTTTAATTATCAATTACATGACATATATGATGTGGCATTTTTTAAGATTTAATCAATTAATAAACCTTCCATAATAGGATTTGTTGCGTTGCTTTCCTTATTGTTATATGCGTATGGGGAATAAATTAAATATATCAAAATATGCTATAAATTAAACTGCATATTAATTTGATATAAATTAATTTTCAATTGATTATACAAAGTTTATCATTTCTACCCACAAACTTTACTTTACATTTCTGATATCATCTTATTGCTTAAAATTACAATTTATTTGTTGGATACTTAATTGAACATTCACCCTGTATGTAAAATAACTATTGTATTCTCACCGTCAAATGGGAAAGTGATCAATTAACATTTAAATAATTGAGATTTAAAATATGTGAACTTGAATTCAACTTTAAGTTATTGAGAAATAAAATATAGGGAATGCGTATATACTAGTGAAGCTCTTCTTCATTTTAATGATGGGGGTATGAATGCTCCAGAAATTCTATGGCGCCCAATAGGGTACCATAAGCCATGCCACATTATGATGTGGCATATGAGGTGGCCTTCTTGTTTTTAATTATCAATTACATGACATATATGATGTGGCATTTTTTAAGATTTAATCAATTAATAAACCTTTCATAATAGGATTTGTTGCGTTGCTTTCCTTATTGTTATATGCGTATGGGGAATAAATTAAATATAATAAAATATGCTATAAATTAAACTGCATATTAATTTGATATAAATTAATTTTGAATTGATTATACAAAGTTTATCATTTCTACCCACAAACTTTACATTTCTGATATCATCTTATTGCTTAAAATTACAATTTATTTGTTGGATGCTTAATTGAACATTCATCCTGTATGTAAAATATAACTATTGTATTCTCACCGTCAAATGGGAAAGTGATCAATTAATATTTAAATAATTGAGATTTAAAATATGTGAACTTAAATTCAACTTTTTATTGAGAAATAAAATATAGGGAATGCGTATACACTAATGAAGCTCTTCTTCATTTTAATGATGGGGTAATGAATGCTCAATATAGCATCATATATGCCACTAGAAATATTAGGTGCCTGATTTTGGGAACAATCCTATTATGGATGGTTTCTTAATTGATTAAATCTTAAAAAATGTCACATCATATATGCCATGTAATTGATAATTAAAAACAAAAAAGCCACCTCATAGGCCACATCATAATGTGGCATGGCTTATCGTACCCTAATGGGCGCCATAGAATTTCTGTGCTTATGTTATAAACATTTATAACTAATATCATTTAACATTGCTTATTCAATTATATTTGGTACATAAAGTTATTTTAATTAATATATTTTTATTTTATTATTGTCTTAATTTTTTGATTTCATAAATAGTGTTTTTTTGTTATTTACAAGAGAATATAAAATTTTTGAAATATATATATAACATGAATGCCTGACGAAAAATCGTCAAAATGTGATATCGGCATACACTACGAAAAAATTGTTATATTCCAACGGAAAATCATATGGTAATATAATCCAACGAAAATTGTAACAGATATTCCAATGGTTGCTTAAATTCCAACAAAAATATTCTATTGGAATGTGTTTTCCATTGGAATTTTAGATCGAATTTAATGATTCCAACGCTTTTTACCGTAGGAATTTCGATTGGAATATGCAATTTCCGTTGGAATTTTTATTTCCACTCTCATTAGAAAATCTACCGTAGTAATCGTCAAAATTCATTCCTACGAAATATTTATGTTGGAATCCATTGGAAAAATTCCAATAAAAATAATAGCATTGAAAAATATTCATTGAAATTGCCGTTGGAATTCTATTTGAAAATGTTTCCGTTGGAATTTCATCATTTCCTTGTAGTGATATCAACAAAATGTGCAATAAAAAATGATACTAAATAAAAAAAATTAATTTGACATGTCATATAAAAATGTTACTAAATAAAAAATATATATTTAACTTAAGTTTTATTAAAATATTTTATATATTAAAGTCTTAACCTAAAACTACAAATATACATGAATTGTTCCATAACACAAAACATCGATACATATGATAGTCACAAGAAATTTGCATGTATAATCACGAAGACAACAAAAATTTATATGCGTGCTCGAGAAACCATTAGACGAATCCATCCACCACACTATATGAATAAAAAAATATTTATACTATCAAATGTTATACTTTTATTTATAAAGTTTTTTAAGTATAACAATTTTTAATGAAATTATATATATTTGTAAAATATATAGTACGTCGGTTTAATAATTAGAACGATCTAATAATTAGACTGACTTAATACAAGACATACCGTTACCAATATCTATATTGTATGTATTAATTTAAAAGTTATAAACTAATAGAAAATGAAGTAAAAACATGTCTTACAGGATTGTTATCCTTGAAGGATAACGGTAAATATAGGGAAGCTTCTAAAGTTGACTTCTATTGTTCGCAGTTTGATACGATATCTATACACACTACATAAAAAATGAACACAATATCTTTACATCAATCACTCCGCGTTTTTCATCTCTTTTTTCTACCAATCAAAATTGTTGAATTCTCCGACAAAATGGTACCACGATAAGGAGGGGACTACTTTTTGTGGAACAGTATTACTTTAAATCTATCTAGTCAATAGAATGATATATTTTTTAATAAATATATTTTTTCAATATTATACTTTAAAGAAAGATGAAAATAAAGTATTAAATTTCATAATATAAATATGAATTTTTATTTAAAAAAATGAGATAAATCGATATATCTAAAGCTTAGACTGTCTTACATAAAAACATATGGGGTGTATTTATTTGAAATTTTTAAATACTTTTTAAAATTCCAAAAAACCTAGTGTATTTAATTATTGAAAAGACTTTTTAAGATTGACTGAGATTTCGAAATATAAAAAAACATGTGAGAAATTTCACTCAAACGAATTTAAAAATTTCTCATGAATTTAAAAATTTTAAAAAGTCTCCAAATGTCATTCAAATATCAAACGAATGCCCTAAAGTTGGTAGGAAGATTATATAATTAATTTTTTTTTTCTTAATTGAAGTGTTGGTATGGAGATCATATAATATAATTAATTGAAGTGTTGCAATGTGAGGTCAATTTCACCACTTCACCACAGCTCATTAAGGAATATATAAAGTTGAATTAAACTTTTATACAAGATTAACCTCATCGTTATTGATTTAAAATCACATCTTTTAACCTTTTATCGTTCAGAGTAACTAAAAGTACATAAATGTCAAATGTCATGATATACCCATATGTCAAAATTTCTCAAGCAAATGCAATATTTTTCAAGAACCACACTTATACAATTTGACGTCAGCTGAGGCAGGTTCGTGAAACCGTTCACGCTTATATATTCAATACAATTGGTATCCGACATTAATTACTAATTACTGTAAAAAAAAAAAAAAAAAAAAACCGAAAGAAATTTTAGAGTTTCTCATGGCCAAATTGAATTCCTTGATGAAATTTCAGGCTTATTATTGGTCTCTTGTACTGGTAATTATTTTATTGCCATCATCATGTTATACAGACAGAAGCCATCATCAGTCTCAAGGAAGCCAGAAGCTGTTTTGTTCTCCTTTAGCAGACTCAGCTTGCAGTCCTGCCTCCACTGGTATCAAATCATCACATTTTTTCATTTCTACCTAAATTTACAATTAATGTCGTAAAATTGGTGAGCGATTGAGATTTATTATGCATTATGTCTGATTGTCCCAAACAGCGGATAGCTTAAGAAAACTCGAATCACTGAGAGATATTTTGATCGGACTTGAAGACACTATTATATTCTGTCTGATAGAGAGGTCAAAATACGCCTATAATCAGTACTTGTACGCTTCTTCTCACAATGGCCTCCAATCCTTCATTCAAAGTTCCGAATCTGTTCAGGCGACGGTAATTAATTCCGACTCTAAATAGCCAAAGAAAGAATTTTCGTATAGGCGAAAAATATAAATTTACAGTGATTTGCTTTGATTAATGTAGTTTGGTCGTTATACGCTTGAAGAAGAGACTCCCTTCTCCGGATCTAATTTTGTAATTCCGACTCCTCCTAACTGTACTAAGGTAAGAATCTATTTATATTCTAAGTAGTTAAATTAAATGTTGAGATTTTGTTTTATGCAAAAAAAATATTTGACTATGAATTGAATCTCAGGTTTTGCACAGGCCAGCGTCTTGCTTCGACAAAAGCAAGGAAATATTGACGGCTTACCTCGATTTACTTCCTAATATTACTATTAACGGTGATGATGGGCACTATGCACCTACTCTTGCGACCGATCTAATTTGTTTGCAGGTAAAAAAGGAAAATCATTTAGGAAAATGAATGGCAGCTGCTCGTTTAACAACACTTGTATCGGTTTACTTACTATATATATCTTCTTTCAGGCTATCTCCAAAAGGATTACTTTGGGAAAATTTGTAGCGGAGGCTAAATACAATAAAGATCCTAAAGCATATAATGCTACCATAAGTGAAAAGGTAATTTTAAAAGTTACGCAAAAACTACTTATCCAGAGCTTTAATTTTCCTTAGGAAAAAAATGCATTAAAAGATACAACCTACTGATGATCCCAAACTCTTGCAGAACAACGAAGACGATTTAATGAAGATGCTGACTGACACGAAGGTTGAAAAAGAAGTCATTCAAAGAGTGGCGAATAAAGCAGAGATATTCGGACAAAACATTGATCCATTCAATGCAAGTGTCGTCAAACAACCGAAGATTGATCCATCTGTAATTTCTCGATTTTATGAAAATTTCATGATCCCTTTGACAAAGCAAGTCGAAGTCACTTACCTTCAGCATCGTCTGGATTAAGAGATGGCTACATCTAATTTCAAAGTGCTGGTTGAGTTTTGTGTTGTCTTACCCCGTGATTCAAGATACATTGGAATAAGTTGTAGCAGTCATTTTAGTGCTTTTTTCTTATCTTCTTTTTAACAACAGAACACAAACATTTTGATTGTGTTGTGTTGTTAGAGAGCTTATATACAAGCATTGCTATTCTCTCTCATGAGAAAGCCCGAAGAAGATGAAGAACTTGACGAACAAAGTAGTACTATTAGTATCGGGTCCAACAATGATGCCAAACACCTAGGATGACTTCTACTAATCCCCTAATCCATTCCTAAAGGTGAGTGAAATATGAAAACTATATAATTCTTAAGTTAGACAATATACTGGTTAGACAGTCGTATTCTCTCAACATATGCACATACTTTCACTCTTAAATATCATACTTTAAAATACTAAATAAACAAAAATATGACATTTAATAAGATAAGTATGCATTTTTCATAAGAAAATATCTAAGTCTAATGATTAGGCACCCTGAAAAATGCAGGGCAGTGCACGAGTGCGACTTTTATGTAACACCACGAAACAAAATTGCGGAAGCGATTAAACAAAAGTTTCCTCAAGAAGTATCACACTTCCCTCAAAACTCTTTTGCTAGTACAAATATACTAGACTAGAACTCTCTTCAAATCACGAGTTTTCTCATTTAGAATTTAGTTTTTTTCTCCCACGTTGGAAGAAAATGTAACTTACACATCTCATATCGTGAAAAGGTTATTCTTTGTTTTAAGTTATCGACAAAAAATTTAAGAACATCATTACCACAAATGATCTAGACAGCTAGATTTCTGTTTTAAATGCCAAAATCAATTGATCCTATCGCAACATGTTGCTGACAAGTTGCAATATACTTGGTTGTTGATCTTCATTTCTCTCCTTTGATCTAAATATATTACTAAAACCAAAGAACCATGGATAGCTGACTATCATATTACTATTGATGCATATCTTCTCTTATGACAAAATCTCATAAGAAATATATTTTTCCCACGACTTTATGTAATTTTGTGAAAGCATCGAGAATCCAAAGGGAAGGCTTCGTTTTCATCGCCCAGCAAGACGTATGAAGTCAGTGCAAGGAATAAAACATAAGATTCCAAGGTAAACCGCAGCAGACGATGTGTAGCGCCCCGATCATTTAATAGAGACATCTCAATTATCTATTTTATTTATGCAGATAGTTGCATTATAATTTCTATGCTCGACAAGTTTTTCAGAATTAATTAGACGTTAGTGTCTATTTAATCCGATTAGTGAGAGAATATATTAGACATGAGAGTCTATTTAAATTATTCGAATTATCAGATATTCGTTAGTCATTCGATTTTTATTCGATTTAATCATTTAGAAAGAAACCGAATTTATTAGAATTTTTGATTTATCAGTTGCCGTACATTTTGAGTTCGTTTCGACTCTGTCAATTTTATTTATTCTCGATTCTCAAAATTTTATCGAGACCAATTGTGAGCTTATATTTCAGGCCTTATAAGTTCAATTATATTCGGCCCTTTCAGATTAATTTAGTCGGTTTATGTATTTGCGAACCGTCGCTAGCCGATTTCCATACCCAATTCTATTGGTCCTTTTAGCTTAATTATATTTTTTGTGCCCAGTATTAAGCTAAATTTAGGCCCAAGCGGAGCTTAGTTCTCAGCCCATAGGTGTGTACATCTGAGCCCATAGCACTTAAATCCCTTCTCTTCTTGTTCACGCATAGGTGTGTACATCTGAGCCCATAGCACTTAAATCCCTTCTCTTCTTGTTCACAGCATTTGCATCAGATAAACCCCTAGCTTCAGATCAAATTTCTCTGGCCCCAAATACCGAGCAAAAAAAATACTATATCAGAACCCTTTTTCCTTTTCTTGTGGACTCGTCGATCAAAAAAAATACTATATCAAATTTCAATTTTCAGTTTCCAGTTTCCAGTTTTCAGTTATATACCGTGACGGTTGATCACGTACGGTATGAACAGCTTTTTTGTAGTTGTTCCTAGATCAGATATGTTGCATGCTAGCTAGTACCCTAAGGGGCAGTGTTCCGAGGGGCTAAGCAGACAATACAGAACATAATAGAATAGAAATGAGATTAGACGCATCGTCTTGACGGTTTCCAGAACTTTATATGCATCTTAGCCAGGTGCGAAACTATTATTTATGTATTATATCTGCTTACAATGGTATCTTTTGTTTAATTCAAATGTCCGTACTATATAGACTCCAGGTGAGCCGTTGATTATTATTATGCTCACTCTCCACACCAACCTTTCAGGTTAAGCAACTGGATAGGCGGCATCCGAGGCAGGGCGGCGTGGTCATCAGTCCTATTATTTAGTTATTCATCAGTCATATGTTTCAGTCATTTATTTTCAGACATTGACAGTTTCAGTTCCAGTATTATTTTCATGTTGAGACATTGCATGTTGAGTTTGAGGATTATGACATTGAACAGTTTGAGACATTATGCATTATTGTTTGAGTTTATTTTCTGTCTCGAGTCATTTTGAGAGCCAGAGAAAAGAAAAGAGTTGGTATATTAAAAAAGAAAGAGTAATTATGAGTAACGACTCGCGAAAAAGAATTTTCACATTTCAGAAAAAGGTTTAAATTTACTGGAAAATATTAGTATTTTCTTAAAATCAGAAGTCGATGTTACATGATGCACGATGAATTATTCTCTGTGCAATCAGCTCAGGCCACCGCGACGCATCGCAATCGGCCACTCAACTCCCAGCCACAAACAACCATGACAGACGGGCAATTGGGGCTGGCTGGGCGAGTCACATCGCTGTGCGACCTGGTCATAGGCAGGACGGCACGCTCGGAGGCTTTGGCCTGGTGCAGCTCGTTGCAAGCTACCCGCAGACAAGCTGAGACGTTGGACATAGATGCGCGGGCTGTAGCGTGCGGTGAGCGACATGCAAATTTCTCACAAACATCACTCCACACGTGCGACAAGGACGCCCAGCGGTAAGCAGTCCAGAGACACCCGCAGACAGGCAACGCGTACAACACCTGCGCGACTTTATCGCTCGACAAGGTCGCACAAGCGTTGCACGCGTTGCCCCGCGCTCGCACGCCGACATCCCCAGCAACATTTTCGCTCGGCGCAGTAAGCGCACAACCCCGGCGACGACGAGGCAAGGCGTAGCGACCATAGTGACCCGACCATGCACTAGGCCACCCGGCCACAGGTGACCTGGCACGTTCCAGGCGACCCGTCAGTGACCACCAGCAGCCTGCCACAATCCGACCGTGTAAGTCAATTCTGAGTCCACTTAATCAAATCCGTAAGACCTTGATCCTAAACTTTAGATTCTGCTGCACTTTAGATTTCAATTAGATAACAATAACCGACGTTCTTCATCGAACCCAACAAAATTGTGGGTTTTTACACTAAACCCGAACCCGACCCATGAGTTCGGGTAGTAAATCTACACCCAAACCTAGATATATCCGACTAAAGAATACAAGTAACCCAAACCTATGTGTTTTATTGACATNTTAAACTTAAAAAATTCTAGAATTTTAACCTAGACCCCCACCCCCACCATGTAATCCATAGATGGTGTAGTTGGAGAAGAGACGTTCCCACATCAACAATAGTAAAGAGTAGAAAAATATACATCACCATCATAGCACAACTTCCTTTCTTTCATTATTTAAATAAAGAAAACTCTGAATATACGCACATGCAAAATTCAACTCCGACCCTACCCGCATTGTCTTCTTCCCATCCTAGGGGGTCCCTTTCCACAATCGATAAGCCGCTTTAAATTATAATCCCTCTTCATCCTCTACGCTAATTCTACGCTTATTTGGACTCTCGATTCAACGCGCTATATATGACTGACTTCAACCTCCCCACACACTTTTTTTTTTCCTTTCCGCCTCCAAACCCTTGGACGTGGACATTATTTGGACTGTGCTCCAAACATATATATATGCACCACCAATACCATAAACTCTCAGCCGCCAAAAATCCCAATTCAACTCTCATTTCTGTTGCATGCAAATTTCAGGCCTACAAAATAAAATTAAAATCCCCCTCTTATATATTATCGAAAAAATGGTTAAGACCCCATCCAACTCCGGAATAGGCGTGGAGCCCAAGTACAAAGGCGTGCGGTTGAGAAAATGGGGGAAATACGTGTCCGAAATACGGCTCCCAAACTGCCGGGACCGAATATGGCTGGGCTCGTACGACACGGCCCAGAAGGCCGCGCGGGCCTTCGACGCGGCCCTCTTCTGCCTCCGAGGGCCCGAAGCAAAATTCAACTTCCCGGAGGACCCGCCTGCAATTCCGGGCCGCCAGGGTTTGAGCCCGGCAGAGATACAGGCCATGGCCCAGCACTATGGTAATAATATTAGCCATTCGGACTCGGGAAATAATGATCAGCCGCATCTGGTGCGGGCGGAGCGGGAGTTCTTTGAGGAAACATCGCCGTCTGATGGGAGGTGGCCGAGGGACGAGATCGACTGGTCGTTCCTGAACGTGTTGGACTCGGATAATATGGGCCGGGTTTCGGATTTCGGGCTTTTTCACGAGCCCGGTGATATGTGCGTGCCTCCGCATTTTCCAAATAATAATGATGATGATGATGGTTACGAGTATGGGAGCAGTGGTAATGTGCAGAATTTTCTCTGGAACTTCTGATGGAGTGTGCTGATTTAATTAAGCCTAGCTAGTATAGTATTTCACATAGTTAATTAAGCTTATTCCCGGTTATATTTTAGAGACTGTGTGCCTCTNTGGACGGGGAAGTTTATTTACCTCGGAGTACTGAAATAATGTAACATATAAATTTTCTTATATATAAATGTGGTAAGTGAGATGCATCATAATGTGATTGTGAGCTCTAAGGTATATATTTGTAAGAAAGTGTAGATTAGCATCAGCATTATACATAAAAATTGGAAAATACTAAAGTCATGTAACAGAATTATTCCTCTAAATAAAATTTTAATAAAAAATTGTCACGTCATTATTTGTTGACTGCATCAAAGGTCCACGTCGAATTGTGGATATTCAACTTAGGAGTGTTCACGGTCCAGTTTTAACCAAAAAAACCGTCAATCCGGATCGCGGATCGATTAAATGGTCAGTTAAAAAAGCCTTAAGAAATCCGGTGGTTAATTTTTTTAAAAATCCGGAATAACCGGTCCGATTAACGAATTACCTGTGGCAAACCGCCGGTTTAACCGGACCGGACCGGTAAATATTAAAAAACTATAACAAATATATATATACATTCGGTCATTCACTATGACCGACAAATACAATACATTCGCTATGAATAAAGCTCTTATTAATTCAGGTGCATAAACTGACTGAAAAATGAATGCTTGCTTGGGTTCAGTTTGCATAATTTAATCTTCATCATTTTTGTATTTTTATGTTTATGGGACGAAATGTGTATTTTTATGCTTATGTGATGAATTGTCTATTTTTTATTTCATTATTGTTGTTTTTCTTAATTTTTAGGCCCAAATAATCTCTTTCGGGCCCAAAATTGAAAAATAAAAATTAAACCCAAAATGAAAAAAATAAAAATTGAAGGCCCAAAACAATGATTTTAGATTTAATCGGTTAACCTTCAAACCAGACCGTCCAATGCAGTCCGGATTGTGGTCGGTTAAAAAATAAAACCGATCCGGTTATGGACAAGAAAAAAAAATTAACCGTTAGGTCCGGTTTGGTCATGATTTGGGCTAAAACCGGACCAATCCGGACCGTGAACACCCATAATCCAACTATTCATATGAAATGGATGGACTGTAGCCGTCCCCATACATATGATTTGTTTTCCTAATAAATGGACATTAGAATGATTTGTTAATTATTACGGCTAGTTTGACAGAAGATTTGTTGGTTTCCTATCATAACTTATAACAATATATATGCATATTATAATATTTCTTTCTATGCCTATAATTTACACGGCAGCTCGACAAATGATCAATTGGCTTTGAGTTTTTGTAATCTAATAATTTACATGGTATTTTGATAAATAGTCTCGGTTTTGCTATGAAGCCAACAGTTGGCTCCATAGTGGAGCCAACCTTCTATATACAACAAATAAACATACCATATTAATAAAATTATATTAATGTTATTTAAGTAATCAGAGAATATGGTAGGTTTACTTGTTGTATGAATCAACTGTTGGCTTCATAGTAAAACCGTAAATAGTCTATTGGTTTATCGTTTTAATGACTTATGTACTTGAGACTAATTACTATATTAAGTTATTTTATTACAAATACATTTTATTATATATACTTTTTTGTTTATTGTATGAATAACTTTAGACTAATTATATATTTTTTAAGTTAATTTTAAATAATAAATTTACGTTCATTAGATATATAAATGTGTGTGTGTATGATATTACCAAAGCAAGTAAAATTCTAAATTAGGTTGGAATGGCATAACTGGTTGTAAATTTTTGGGAATTTTAATATCAAGTTATTGATATCACATTATTAAAAATAAAAAGAACAATAGAATTAAGTAAAAATAAATAATTGATAGAATTGTAAAAGTTTGATAGATAGATTTAGATCAAATTACTGATATCACATTACATTAAAATTAAAATAAAAGTCTTACCATGGATTGTAAAGAAAATTTACCAAATAGAAAAAAAAATGTTTAAAAAAATCTTATTTAGTAACCAATATTTTTTTTTTTGCTGGTAATTGAGTAAATACCAAAACTTTTTATATAGATATAGATATAAATATATATTATATATGGTAAACTGTATTACATGATAATGCCCCATCCTTAATTTATAATATTAGCTACTTGTGCATTGAATGAGATTCACATAAGTTAGAATAATGATTAGTTTTTGAAAATTTTAATCTCAAATTATTGTTTTCACATCACTAAAAGTAAAAATATAAATAGATTATGAAGAAATACAATAGTTGATTGAATTTTCTAAAACTTTTAATCAATAAATTTAGCTCAGTTATTGATATCACATTACCTAAAATTAAAGTCACACCACATATGGTAAAGAAAAAATTACCAAAACAAATAGAAAAAAAAAATGTTTAAAAAAAACTTATTTAGTAATATAATATTTTTTGTGGGAAAACAATTTCAATAAATGCCAAATTTGTATATATATATAATATTTAATCGAACAAAGTATTCCTGATATTGTATCATTTTTTTACTGTTATACAAATAATTTCAACAATTTTTGTCCAGCCAAGTTGACCCACGACATGGTTACTCAAGATGCAACTCAAGTTGTATCGTGGTTTTGGATTGTTATACAAATGACCTAAAATGATATAGTAACCAAATTCTGTCCACTCAAGTGACCCAAAAAAATATCTCTAAAATATATTTATTTTTATAGAAAAAAAGATTGATTCATATAGTAAATGTTCATAATAGAAGATAAAAAAATATTAAGATTTTAAAAAAATAGAATTAAAAATAAATGAATTCTTACTTTTATGCATATATACAAATCAATAAATTCAATAAATTTTTGTGAAATAAAATTAATTAATCAATTATGCTCGATGATTCAAATACCATCATGAGTAAATACCGAGTTGAGATATTTTTAATGTTAATTAATATGTATGTAATATGTACTTCAAACAAAGTGATAATTGTATATATTACCTAAGATAATGGTACAAATATAATTATGTATTGTTAAATAATTCTTTACAATTCAATTTGAATAATCTTGCAAAGTCATTATAATTACAAAGTAGTTGTCATTTTAGATCCTATTTATAATTAAGAATATTGAAAATTTAACATATTCAAAAAATTATCAGTAAATAATACTCACATAATACTTCTCTTGCTCTATATTCTCTTATTCATACATTGTTACAAGATATTATTTCAATTTCTAAATAAGTTAGGCAAAAATTAAAATAATTGTAACAGATATTATGACCATCACTTAATTGAAAAAGATTGTAATATATATTGTTTTGAAGTTGAAAAAAAAATAGTAATTTTTCATTACATCAATATTATTTTATTTTTTCTTATAATTTAGAATATTATAAATAATTTAATTTTTCTTTCTAATCTATTAATTTATATGAGATTTTTTATGATATTGTGAATTGCAATTTGAACTTTTAAGAAGTTGGTTTGGTTCAATTATACATAAAATGAAATGATAGTTTTGAACTCCTTGAATAGATTATTTTTGGTATATGACTTACTACGAAATGAACAAAAATCGTAAGGATTTGTTATTTATACTGAGATATCAGTTCTATTATAGTATTGTGGTAATTATATCAATAAGATTTTCACAATTGATTTCTAAATCTATTTTGTACTATTATTTTGTAATGTTCTCACGCATATTTCGGTCTACGTATGACTGGATACCCAACAAAACAGGGAACCGCATAATTTGTTATTAAGAATAAAGATTGACTTGTTACTACAGATAAATAGTTAAATTTCTTTTGATATTTTAGAAAATTGGTTTAATATTTTTTGAAAAACTGGAAATTGATATATCAAATGATTCTAAACTAATTCTATCGATAAATTACTTTTTGAAGATATGATAAAAATATTTTTGGTATATGGTTGATTACCGAATGAATAAGAATTCAACATGATATTGACCGCGCGTCGCAACACGGCAAATTTAAATTTATAATATTTTCCTCGACTAACCTCTACTAACTAGTAGTAGCGGCGAGTAAGGGTCGATCCCACGAGGAGCAGGAATTAAATTGTGATGATTCTCGTATTAATTTGAACTAAACCTACGAAAGCAATAAAGGTGGGGGGATTGGTTTTATAAAAATAAAAATAAAAATAATAAAATAAAATAAGAGATCAAATAAAATAAGAGAAGTCCAGTTTTCGGTTCAGTTATCACCCAATCTAAATCTACCGTTAATTAATTTCGACGCTTTCTTTAAATTGCTAACGAATTACCGACCCTAGCTAACAACAAGCTCTGTTAACCGAATTTTCCCTTACCGAATATTTAATCGAAATAAGCTCTTCGACTAAACCCAACTAGCGGACAACCTAGAATAAGCTCTCTAGATTTAATACACTAGCAGCATTAATTCCTAGGAAAATAGATCAGTCTAAGCAATGGACGCAAAAGCTCGGACCATTTAACTTATGCTCATGCTACCCTAGAGATGCACGACCCCTAGTTTACTACTAACGAAACGAGACAATAACAATTACGGATTAAAGCCTCGAATCTAGCAATTAAACCATGAACATTCGACGTAGTTGGCCAGACTAAATCAAACACCATAATTTATAAACATTAAATATAGATAACATGAATCAACTCATCAACAAAAATAAATACGGCGTCTCGATTAACTAACGATAAATAAAGATCATCCAATTCATAGACAAATCGGAATTAGGGTTCAAACATTCCCTCAAACTGGATAAAATAACTAGCCTAACATACTAATAAAATATAAAAATAAAATAAAATGAGAGAATATAATCTCCCTCGTGTTGGGTTCGCTAGTACCGTACGGGCTGTACGCAGCGGAATTTAAAATTTTTAAAGTAAGTATTTATCGTATAAATACAACACCCGTACATACTAATTGCGAATTAACTGATCGTCATCTATAAAACATGCATCATATACAAATTTTGATTTG